ATCAGACAGATTTCAGGTATAAAGKATTTTTCTTAAAATATCGACATAAGCTTTTAAGTATTTTTCATCACCCTCTATTTTGGATTTGATAGTAAGCTAATATGAGCCATATAAATACTTTATTGAGGTTCGAGAAGCACATCTGTTGTGGTTTAGATGACCACAATATATCCATATTTTGTAATTTTCTGTGGCTTTRCATTAAACCAATACAAATTATCCTGGAATCTGAGGTATTGTATTTGTCTGTATAATTATTTGCAAGGATATTCATGCAAGAATTTGCAATAAATATTTTTGACATAAAAGTTTTGATTTCATTAGCTACAAGACAAAGTCCATGTACATGTCATTCTACAGTTCTACCAGTCAGAGTCATTCATCAATAATTATGATTTTAAATATTGCATTTAGTTCTGCTTTAAAAATGTTAGCTTGGGGCCAGTTCACACTGCAACATAAGCACAAGCTCCATAAAAAAGGGTTTAAGGATTAAGAAGACAAAAAGGAAGGTGTTTTTCTCTATTTCTTTGTCTTTGATTAGCTTATGCTCTGCCTTATGTTACAATACTTGCTATGCTTATATCGATGCACGCTTGATTTCATTCTTTTGTCTTTTCTTTTGTTCAACATGCTTATGTCGTAGTGTGAACAGGCCCTTAATGTTCAAATCCTTATAGAATTACCACCACATACATGCTATGCATAACCCAGTATTCTGTTATGCTAAACTGAACTGATTAGGTTCTCCCTATCATATGCCATTTAAAAGCTTTATTTGATCCAACATACAGTACATGTAAGAGCTGTTCTTAACTTATGCATGTGTTATGTTACTAAGAAAGTGGTGTTCTAAATATTATATCTTGGCCGGTTAATACCCAGTCAGCTTTGCAAAGTCAGTAAGACAGCCATATACATGTCAAGTAGGATATTGCTTTTGTATTCACAAAAAATTCAACGTGAATATTGTCATCTGAGATTTCTTAATCTCTGAGTCTTTTTACCCAAGAGATGTGAGCCATAGATAAATAATACTTGTGTGCATTAATGATTAGAATTTCTTTGTTAGTTCTC